CGCATGTGTCCTCGTGGCCGCATGTGTCCTCGGGGCCGCATGTGTCCTCGGGGCCGCATGTGTCCTCGGGGCCGCATGTGTCCTCGGGGCCGCATGTGTCCTCGGGGCCGCATGTGTCCTCGGGGCCGCATGTGTCCTCGTGGCCGCATGTGTCCTCGGGGCCGCATGTGTCCTCGGGGCCGCATGTGTCCTCGGGGCCGCATGTGTCCTCGGGGCCGCATGTGTCCTCGGGGCCGCATGTGTCCTCGGGGCCGCATGTGTCCTCGGGGCCGCATGTGTCCTCGGGGCCGCATGTGTCCTCGGGTCCTCGGGGTCCGCATGTGTCCTCGGGGCCGCATGTGTCCTCGGGGCCGCATGTGTCCTCGGGGCCGCATGTGTCCTCGGGGCCGCATGTGTCCTCGTGGCCGCATGTGTCCTCGGGGCCGCATGTGTCCTCGGGGCCGCATGTGTCCTCGGGGTCGCATGTGTCCTCGGGGTCGCATGTGTCCTCGTGGCCGCATGTGTCCTCGGGGCCGCATGTGTCCTCGGGGTCGCATGTGTCCTCGGGGTTCTTGTCTTTGTTGTTTCCTAAACCTGTGTTCCATCGTACAGAGGTAACTATTAGGAGAAAGCGCCAAGCCATTATGACTATATTGTACTAGAAAGGGGTCGGGATAAGGATTTGGGATGGGACGGGGTGAAAGGAATGGTGCCCAACCACTTGGACAGTAGGGGATTGAACGCCGACCTGCATGAAGCGAGACCGTTGCTCTACCGGCGTTGGGGGTGTAGCAGTTGTAGTTCTTGTGTGTGTGTATAGTGCCTGTTATACATATTCCAAATCATATATACATATACATATACAAAGGGATATACATATCCCTATTTATTGTGTCGTTTAAGCTGTCTTCACCAGGCAAAATATATACAACAAAAATTCTGCATGTATATTATCCCGCGTCTTATCCAATCTCTAATATTAAATCTGTTCATTTTAGAAGTATTTTCTTTCGTCTAGTGAGGACTTAAATATTCTTTCGTGAAAATAACAGCAATTTATTTCCAAGCAGCCATTTTTTCCTGTATAAGCAGATTTCTGTGGATGTTTATACGTTTTTATATTTTCCGTGTGTCTCTATCTGAATATTTTCTGAGCATAATATTTACTTGAAACAAATACCTTTCTCGCAGCTCTGTAGTTTGGTAATTATGTTCACAGAAGATTACAACATGACGCTTATCCTTGTTACCCAGAACTACTTGGCACTTATCCTTGTTCCTTACGCAGTTTATGTTTATATATATATATATATATATATATATATATATATATATATATATATATATATATATATATATATATATATATATATAAAGTTGTAATACGTCGTAAAAACGTTATAAGAAATGTAACTTCTGTATTACAAGGTGTAACAAGGGAATGATAGGGACCGTTACGTTGTGTGTGTGCTGGTAAGTCTCTCAGGAGGTATATTACCTCACCAGGAGGCTCTACAGACGGGATATGTAGAGGGAGAGACGGGATAGTAAGTTTATTAACCAGGAGAATTGTAAATGTTACCACCGTATGTCAGAACTATTTGTTTTCATCCAATGTGACGCGGGTAGATCAACGTCTACTGTGAATCGGGTAGATCAACTCGGGTAGATCAACGTCTACTGTGAAGTCGGGTAGATCAACGTCTACTGTGAATCGGGAAGATCAACTTCTACTGTGAATCGGGTAGACCAACCAACGTCTCGTTTTGGACGACTCAATTTTTTCCCAAGAATCGTCTACACTGGAGTGTGTACGATCCATTTTCTGATTACCTCATCAGAAAATACGAACGGGAAGTTGATACTGTGAACGATTCAACGAGGATTGAGAACAGGATTTCTGGAACAAGGCCACAGGAGGGAGGGAGGGATGGTGGAAGGGAAAGAGAGAATGGGTGGAATAGAGGGATGGAACAAAATCTCATGAGGGATAAAGAGAGGAAATGAGTGAAGAAATAGAGCCTTATGATGGAAGGAATGGAGATCTGGAGACATTTGGCTAAGAAAGAGTAAGACTGATAATAGAAAAACCACGTGAGATGGTAGAAGGAACAGAGCAACGAACCGAGAAGAGACGAAATATGGAAGACTTACGTGTTCCTAACACCTGTTTTTTTTCTCCCCGTCATATATATCAAAATGATCTTAGATAAACATGGCCAACAAAGCTATTTAACCGTTGGCATTTCTCAGGAAAACATCAAGAATTTCTGAGTGAATGACGACGTGGCTTGGAGCGTGCATGATCAAAGACTTGAACTATCACGTCAGCTTCTCGTTGGGAGGTAATCTGTTTGAAGCCCAAATGAATCTGACTCGTAATGCTTATGAAAGTAATCAACTCCTGGCGAATACATTGAGTTATATCATGCATATATGTCCTTCGCTCTTTTGTAAATTTACACGTGGTAATTAGAGATGGTATTCCTGTATGTTTCTTGTGTTACCATTTAATATCTCGCTTTACATTAATTTCTAACTTGTCTTTGCAGTATTATAAGTCGAAATTGAAAAGCAATGAAAAAAAAAACATAATTTTTTATATATTTGAGGCATTTACATTATTAATAATTATTTTAATTAATGTTGAGCAACGATATGTTTGAAGTTATTAAAGGTTTCTACTGTTCAAATCCTCTCCCAGCGGAAGTTGGATAACAAGCTGAGTACTTATTGTTATCTATCCTAGGTATAGCCACAGACGCGTGCTTCAACCCAGGACCCACGATATGTAACATTTAGGATATCGTGGTCCATGGGCTAAAGTGCACCGGTTTTGGAACACCAAGGACGCTGGTTCGATCCCATTTCAGCCCTCAAAAAGGGGGTGCAAATCACATTAATATGATTTCTTTGTGTGTGAACTTCCACGACTGTGTATATGTGTGTGGAATGGGACGTATCAACTGCCCAGGCTTCAAGTCCCATGTTATTATGACTCGAAGCTTGGCGTGTGGTCTGTCTCCCTCTGGAGCCGCGGTGTGTAATCAGGTGCTGAGTAGTTCAACACTCAGAGGAACAGCATTAATTCTGATCGAGGACACGTGAAGCCCGCAGGTGTAGCATTCAACGTAATTGTCTAGAACTATTTAGGACATTGATGTGTAGAACTTATTCAGCTTGTGATATTAATGTGTAGAACTCGTTACCTGTGAGACATTGATGTGTAGAACTCATTCAATTTGAGACATTGATGTGTAGAACTCATTCAATTTGAGACATTGATGTGTAGAACTCATTCTATTTGAGACATTGATGTGTAGAACTCATTCTATTTGAGACATTGATGTGTAGAACTCATTCTATTTGAGACATTGATGTATAGAACTATTTTTGAGACATTTATTTGAACTTGGAACAAAATGTTCCAAGTAGCATGGGCTATGGTGAGCCCGTAGTGGGCAAGAATCACTTCACCTCTAACACTATGAGGTCGTGAGTTTAGGCTGACGGTAAACACACTTCTAAGTAAATAATACAAACACATGAAAAAAACACAAGATGCCACAGATTCACTGTTTTTCTATAATACACATTTTTTAATATTTCCATACAGTTGTGAACTAGAGGTAATAACTCTGTCACTTGTAATGTTCGTTTCATATTAGTATTTGAGCACAAAAAGCAAAATTGGAGGGGGTGACTATTATCTGAAATTGAAATCTTCTGAAGAAGTCTGTGAACTTTCTCATCATCGCAGCATCCTTTCTCGGCAGGCCAGCATCCCATGCTCCCACCACCAGCATACTTCAGATCCCACTCTGCCACGGTCAAACACCTGTTAGGTAAGATCAGACGGAAGCACTGAGCCAAGCAGATTGTACAACACGTGGGTGGAATATCGGGAGAAAGAGTTGGGATGGGACAGGGGGCCGGAAAGGAATGGTGCTCAACCACTTGGACAGTCGGGGATTGAACGCCGACCTGCATGAAGCGAGACGCTCTACCGTCCACCCAAGACGGATATTCCGAGAAACAAGAGCGTCCAGTTAAGATGGGACAGAAAATAGGATTGTTAAGAACAATTCTGCATTTGTTAGTGATTGTATCACGTAAGACTGAAGTGCGTGTTCCAGGTCCGTGTATAAGAGAAAGATAATGAGAGACTGGTGAAGAGAGTGTATATGAGGGAATATGAGGGGAGGAGGAGGAGAGTCTGAGGACAGGAGAAGAATATGAGGACAGGGCGAGAATATGAGAGAATGAGAGAATGAGAACAGGAAGACGTTTAACAAACAAAACAAAATACCATTCACGTGTATAAAATAACAAAAAAAAGTGTGACAATGAACAAATAACATTTAATGTAAATGAACAATATAAAACTATTTTCGTTTGGTGAGAGTTATTGTGAGAACTTTACACCTTACTTTGGAACTGTAGATGTGCTGCTGTTAACTGTGATGGTCCTGGTTTACCGTGGTACTAGTGTGTTGTGGTATTAGTTTACCGTGATGCTAGTGTGTAGTGGTCCTAGTTTACCGTGGTACTAGTGCGTGGTGGCACTGGTTTACCGTAATGCTAGTGCGTGGTGGCACTGGTTTACCGCAATGCTAGTGCGTGGTGGCACTAGTTTACCGCAATGCTAGTGCGTGGTGGCACTGGTTTACCGCAATGCTAGTGCGTGGTGGCACTGGTTTACCGCAATGCTAGTGCGTGGTGGCACTGGTTTACCGCAATACTAGTGCGTGGTGGCACTAGTTTACCGTGTCACTAGTGCGTGGTGGCACTAGTTTACCGTGACACTAGTGCGTGACACCGGCACTAACTCCCTGTGATGGAGGTGTACCAAGCCTTGTTGGAGAAATTTTAACGCTTTCTCGAAAGTAATTAGAACCGCGTCTGAAGAATGAACCAATTAACTAACCTGGAGAGCGAGAGAGGCATTATTTGGGAACAAGACTCCACAATCGGCTGTAAATGGCTGAAAAATGGTCTAATGGTTGAATTTAGAACACCATTACTGTCTCACAACAGGTGCGCTGTTTGTAATTTCTATTCTAATAATGAGTTAATTCACAAAATGACTTATATCTGAATAAACAGGTAATAGAGTACCCGGTTAAGGGTCCATACTCAAAAATCCCTAACTGTGCTGCATATTTTTTGTCACAAAGTGATGGGTTATTGTCACACTGTCAAGTGCCATTTTAATTTCTTTTGTCACCAGATCTATGCTAAATGAGCGGTTGGTTTAGAATGCTTTTGTTCCAGGATAAGAGCCCTTGAATCTGTTGATGTAAAATACTAGGGGGAAGGTGATCAAATTTCAATAAATGTATGGTGTAATTAGTTAATTAATATATCATTTAATTTATATTCTCGTTATAATATTTTTTATGTTATATTTTGCAAACACAAGTCTCGCGCTCTAATAGGTATTTTTTTTTTTAATGATGGTACACCTTTACACAGATCTGCGTCTCCGGCGGTATATATTTGCGTCTCTCGCAGTGCATTTGCGTCTCTCGCAGTGCATTTGCGTCTCCAGCAGTGCATTTGCGTCTCCAGCAGTGCATTTGCGTCTCCAGCAGTGCATTTGCGTCTCCAGCAGTGTATTTGCGTCTCCAGCAGTGCATTTGCGTCTCCAGCAGTGTATTTGCGTCTCCAGCAGTGTATTTGCGTCTCCAGCAGTGCATTTGCGTCTCCAGCAGTGCATTTGCGTCTCCAGCAGTGCATTTGCGTCGCCGCCGGCACTCCAAGACACTGAACACTGCTCTGGATTTTGTTTATTTGCTTCACATTAAAGCCATACAAATAGATTTTATGCGTTAAACGCAGCTGTAAAACAATTTCCTGTAAAAAAAAAGAGACGCATAAAAGAGATTTTTGACTCGAAAAGACATTTGGGGTAGAGGCATTTCATGCCTATTTTACTGTTCACAAACATTTGCATATTATACTTCCTGTTTACAAAAATTGATTGGACGTTATTTCACGGATTTAGATTCCAGCATGACACGGAGAGTAAACAAATCCTCCTTGATCAACAGGTATGGAAATACCGTTCTTCATCTCGTATGCATCTTGAGCAGTGATCTAAAATAGCTTGTCTTGAAGAAATCCCGTTTTCTTAGAGGGCGTCTTATTTCAGAGGCGAACTGTAAGAAGAGCCTGGTTGATCACGGTTTATTGGCTCGCTGGAGGCTTCTGCCTCAACCCATCCAGTAAGTGACAGCTCCATAAATTGCATCTTAGTAATGACGTCTCAGCCTCTATAAACTGTGCCTCTACAAGTGATTCTCCTTTAACAACGCCGCCTTGTGTTTCGAATGTCTGTTATAGGTTTTAAGGCTCTGTATATGCACCGAAATATGATGATTTTTTTCTGTATTCTCGTCTGATGGTATTAGCAACTTTTCATGTGGAATTTGATTGTTCGATCTTGCTGGTACTATGCTCGAGCGACGTAGCTCTCAGTAACGTAGTTCTGACGCAAGAACTACAGTTGGGTAACGATTTAATTGTCTTGGAAGATGTGGAGGAGGGACCCATCATGGGAAATCCCACTGCATGCCTGCTTATACACGTTAATGAACTCCTGCTTTTCCCCCCTTAGGCGTTCACTGGACTCTTTCATCCAGGCGTTCGCTGGACACTCTCATCCAGGCGTTCACAAGACTCTCTCTTCCAGGCGTTCGCTGAACTCTTTCCAGGCTTTCACTGGACTCTTTCCAGGGTTTCACTTGACTCTTTCATCCAAGCGTTCACTTGACTCTTCATCAGGCGCTCACAAGACTCTTCCAGGCGTTCGCTGAACTCTTTCAGGCTTTCACTGGACTCTTTCCAGGGTTCACTTGACTCTTTCACCACACTCCTTCACCACCACAGACGCACACTGGACTCCCTAACACCAACACAATAACCAAACTACAGATTTGCCGAATATTTCGAGAAATATGGTCAACGAGTCCTTATCCTCATGTCTATAGGTCAAGCTTCATCACTGGGACAGCTGATAGGAAAAGGAAAATGGTCCAGATGTTTACATCCCCCAGCAAACAACAGACGACCCAGACAGGAATACGATAATAACAAGGCATGAATTGCTGAATTGCAGAGATCAGCCAACAACAGTACCCTGAATGAGAGAATAACTACTGGTCATGGGGGACCTAAATTGCGGGGACATCGATTGGGAATCGAGAAATCCAGAAGCTGAAGACACATGGAGAACAAAATTAGTGTAAGTTGTGGAGGGAGGGGAATTAGCAAGGATAAAGCGCCAAGCCATGACGACTATATATCACTAGGAAGGAATCAGGATAAGGATTTGGGATGGGACGGGGAGGGGGGGTTAGGAATAGTGTTCAACCACTTAGATGGTCGTGTATTGAACGCCGACCTGCATGAAGCGAGACCGTCGCTCTACCGTCCAGCCCAAGTGATTGGTTAAGAAACTTTTTAACAAAGCATGTACTCACCTAATTGTGCTTGCGGGGGTTGAGCTCTGGCTCTTTGGTCCCGCCTCTCAACCTTCAATCAACAGGTGAGACTCATGATGTGTGTTGGTTCAAGAGAAAATGGGAAGAGATACACCGAGCCTATTGGAGCTGAGCTTCACCCAGACTGAGAAAGAGACCGAGAACGTGGAGGCACGACCCACCGCTCGGTACACTGTGTCCTGGTGTTGACTTTATGATTGAATTTAAAACAGTGAACTTAAAACATAAAATCTGCCAGTGAAATGCGGCAGGACATAGAAGATTGGGTAGATTGCATATTTCTGGACTGCCAAAAAGCATTTAATACATTCCCTAGCAAGAGATTACGACTGAGTGGACAGCGAGGGGGCCCGATGGTTGAGTGGACAGCGAGGGGCCCGATGGCTGAGTGGACAGCGCTCGATGTTCGTAGGCTTAAGGGCCCGGCTTCGATCCCCGGCGGAGGAGGAAACAAATGGGCAGAATTTATTTCACCCTGATGCACCTTTTTACCTAGCAGTAAATAGGTACCTGGGAGTTAGACAGCTGCTACGGGCTGCTTCCTGGAGATGAGTGTGTGTGAAAATTAGGATTAAGGACTTGCCCGAAACGCTATGCGTGCTAATGGCTGTACAAAAATAAAGGAACTCTTGTAAATATAAATAAACAAATAAATTATTTTACTACACAAACTCGAGAGGCAGGCACGAGTAAGGGGAAAAGCACTAACATGGGTAAAGAATTACCTAACAGACATGAGCTGGAGAGTAACAGGGAGGAAGGGGCGACATGTTGGAATAGCGTAGGGTAAACAAGTGGAGTACCTCAAGGATCGCTGCTGGGACCCATACTGTTTCTCATTTATATAAACAACCCATCTAGAGGAGGTGAGTCTTATCTCACTGTTTGTAGACGACACAAATTAATGAGAAGAGTTGTGACAGATGAGGATTGTAAGATTCTCCAGGATGACTTAAACTAGCTGCCGAGTTAGTCCGAGAAATGGCTGTGGAGTTCAACACCAGCAAGTGTAAGGTTATGTAAATCGTAATAGGCGTCGAGACCAAAAGACCTGTACACGCTAAAGGGGAACTATCTCCCTTAAAACGACTAAAGAAAAAGACCTGGGAGTCGACCTAACACCAAACCTTACTCTGGGGGCTGTTTTAAATGGTATAACGTAAACAGCATACTCTACACTAACATATGTTAGAACATCATTCAAGAACCTAAAAAAAGAGGCAATTAGAACGTTGTACACCACGTACGTGAGACCAGTTTTAGAGTATGCCGCCCCATCATGGAACCCCCCATCTAAGGACATATAAGGAAATTCTAAAAGATTTATAAGTTGTCACCAAGGCTCGTCCCAGAATTGCAATTGATTGGGTATAAGAAGAGATTGAAAGAACTAAACTTGACGACGCTAGAAAGGAGGAAAGAGAGAGAGAGGGACATGATACAGACGTATAAAATACTTAGAGGGATTGACAGGAGTGGAGAAAGAGGAAATGTTCCCAATGAACACCAATAATACAAGAGAACATCGATGGAATCTTGACACTCAGATGAGTTAATGGGATGTTAGAAGTTAGAAGGTTTTCCTTTAGCGTAAGATTAGAGAGAGATGTAATGAACTTAAGGAACAAGTTCTAGAACCAAACTCTAGTCATTATTTTAAAAAGCAGATATGATAGAAAAAAAGCTGGGTCCAAGAGCTAATGCTCGACCCAGCAGGCGCAAGTAGTAAATACTCCCATCTTGATGGTGAAGAGTGCGGTGTGTCCCATAGCGGCTCATTATTCTCACCAGCTAATGGGGACCTGACCCAAGGGACGTGGTCAGATTTGCAGCTTCCTATTTCCACCAAAGTTTCAATCTTCTGGTGTGGCTCGGCTGCTTCCACTTCTGATGCTGTGCTTCTTTATATCTGTAGTTGTTGGCTATCCTGGAGGTGTTGTAGTTGTTGGCTATCCTGGAGGTGTTGTAGCTGTTGGCTATCCTGGATGTGTTGTAGTTGTTGGCTATCCTGGAGGTGTTGTAGTTGTTGGCTATCCTGGAGGTGTTGTAGCTGTTGGCTATCCTGGATGTGTTGTAGTTGTTGGCTATCCTGGAGGTGTTGTAGTTGTTGGATATCCAGGAGGTGTTGTAGTTGTTGGATATCCAGGAGGTGTTGTAGTTGTTGGCTATCCTGGAGGTGTTGTAGTTGTTGGCTATCCAGGAGGTGTTGTAGTTGTTGGCTATCCAGGAGGTGTTGTAGTTGTTGGCTATCCAGGAGGTGTTGTAGTTGTTGGCTATCCTGGAGGTGTTGTAGCTGTTGGCTATCCTGGAGGTGTTGTAGTTGTTGGCTATCCTGGAGGTGTTGTAGTTGTTGGCTATCCTGGAGGTGTTGTAGTTGTTGGCTATCCTGGAGGTGTTGTAGTTGTTGGCTATCCTGGAGGTGTTGTAGTTGTTGGCTATCCTGGAGGTGTTGTAGTTGTTGGCTATCCTGGAGGTGTTGTAGTTGTTGGCTATCCTGGAGGTGTTGTAGTTGTTGGATATCCTGGAGGTGTTGTAGCTGTTGGCTATCCTGGAGGTGTTGTAGTTGTTGGCTATCCTGGAGGTGTTGTAGTTGTTGGCTATCCAGGAGGTGTTGTAGTTGTTGGCTATCCTGGAGGTGTTGTAGTTGTTGGCTATCCTGGAGGTGTTGTAGTTGTTGGCTATCTAGGAGGTGTTGTAGTTGTTGGCTATCTAGGAGGTGATGTAGTTGTTGGCTATCCAGGAGGTGATGTAGTTGTTGGCTATCCTGGAGGTGTTGTAGTTGTTGGCTATCCAGGAGGTGATGTAGTTGTTGGCTATCCTGGAGGTGTTGTAGCTGTTGGCTATCCTGGAGGTGTTGTAGTTGTTGGCTATCCTGGAGGTGTTGTAGTTGTTGGCTATCCAGGAGGTGATGTAGTTGTTGGCTATCCTGGAGGTGTTGTAGCTGTTGGCTATCCTGGAGGTGTTGTAGTTGTTGGCTATCCTGGAGGTGTTGTAGTTGTTGGCTATCCAGGAGGTGATGTAGTTGTTGGCTATCCAGGAGGTGTTGTAGTTGTTGGCTATCCAGGAGGTGTTGTAGTTGTTGGCTATCCAGGAGGTGTTGTAGTTGTTGGCTATCCAGGAGGTGATGTAGTTGTTGGCTATCCAGGAGGTGTTGTAGTTGTTGGCTATCCTGGAGGTGTTGTAGTTGTTGGCTATCCAGGAGGTGATGTAGTTGTTGGTTATCCAGGAGGTGTTGTAGTTGTTGGTTATCCAGGAGGTGATGTAGTTGTTGGCTATCCTGGAGGTGGTGTAGTTGTTGGCTATCCAGGAGGTGATGTAGTTGTTGGTTATCCAGGAGGTGTTGTAGTTGTTGGTTATCCAGGAGGTGATGTAGTTGTTGGCTATCCTGGAGGTGGTGTAGTTGCTGACCCCTGCTGGGGGTGGTGTAGTTGCTGACCCCTGCTGGGGGTGGTGTAGTTGCTGACCCCTGCTGGGGGTGGTGTAGTTGCTGACCCCTGCTGGGGGTGGTGTAGTTGCTGACCCCTGCTGGGGGTGGTGTAGTTGCTGACCCCTGCTGGAGGTGGTGTAGTTGCTGACCCCTGCTGGAGGTGTAGTTGCTGACCCCTGCTGAAGGTGGTGTAGTTGCTGACCCCTGCTGAAGGTGGTGTAGTTGCTGACCCCTGCTGGTGGTGGTGTAGTTGCTGACCCCTGCTGGGGGTGGTGTAGTTGCTGACCCCTGCTGAAGGTGGTGTAGTTGCTGACCCCTGCTGAAGGTGGTGTAGTTGCTGACCCCTGCTGGGGGTGGTGTAGTTGCTGACCCCTGCTGAAGGTGGTGTAGTTGCTGACCCCTGCTGAAGGTGGTGTAGTTGCTGACCCCTGCTGGAGGTGGTGTAGTTGCTGACCCCTGCTGAAGGTGGTGTAGTTGCTGACCCCTGTTGGAGGTGGTGTAGTTGCTGACCCCTGCTGGGGGTGGTGTAGTTGCTGACCCCTGCTGGGGGTGGTGTAGTGACTGAGGTGTTGGTGTAGATGACCTGGTGTGACCTGACCACTCCTAGTACCAGACTGGTCACTCTCACCTACGATCTCCATCAACGCCTCATCTTGGCTACATTGCAAGACCAAAACTAGAAATTTATTGGTTTAGACAGTCAGTGTAGTGTCATATAAATTGTCCGTGAATTAGTGTCATATAAATTGTCCGTGAATTAGTGTCATATAAATTGTCCGTGAATTAGTGTCATATAAATTGTCCTTGAAGTGTCATATAAATTTACGGTGTCTGATATCTTTTTTTTTAGGGATTACCTTAGATAGTGATCGTGTCGCGGAGGTTATCTTGAATGCTTGGACCGTAGTTAGTGTTCTGAGCAAAAGCTTATCAACTCAAAAGCCAGGGTCCAGGAGCTGAGATACCATTAAGCTAATTTCTTTCAACGGTATTCCGATACAAAGTGTATGAACAAAGATTGTAATTTTTTAAATCAAGATTTATTCCTGCGTTCAGAGGAAAATCCTGTGGAACTTGATGATCTAGGATGTGTCCGTCCTAGCTTCCTTCGGCCTCTTACACGGGATCTCACTGCTCAAAAACCACTCATTCTTGCCTGTTTGAGCAGTCCGTCCTAGCTTCCTTCGGCCTCTTACACGGGATCTCACTGCTCAAAAACCACAAGCAGTCCTTCCTTCGGCCTCTTACTCATGCTCAAAAACCACTCATTCTTGCCTGTTTGAGCAGTCCGTCCTAGCTTCCTTCGGCCTCTTACACGGGATCTCACTGCTCAAAAACCACTCATTCTTGCCTGTTTGAGCAGTCCGTCCTCCTAAGCTTTACTAACGTCAAGAAAACGGTCAATTTAAAGAGTGTTCTCCTAACCTAACCTAACCTACCGACCGGCTCCCGACCGGGAGCCGGTCGGCCGAGCGGACAGCACGCTGGACTTGTGATCCTGTGGTCCCGGGTTTGATCCCGGGCGTCGGCGAGAAATAATGGGCAGAGTTTCTTTCACCCTATGTCCCTGTAACCTAGTAGTAAAATAGGTACTTGGGTGTTAGTCAGCTGTCACGGGCTGCTTCCTGGGGGTGGAGGCCTGGTTGTGAACCGGGCCGCGGGGACACTAAAAAGCCCCGAAATCATCTCAATATAACCTCAAAATAACCTAAGCCAGAGAACCCAAAACAGAAAACGGGACAGAACGTCACTTTCGCCAGCCGCTTCCATTTTCTAGTACGACAATTTTTGGTCTTGTGTAACGCATACGACCGAAATGCGACGTTCTTGGTAAGAGGACTGGTTGTAGGAGGACAGGTTGTAGGAGGACAGGTTGTAGGAGGACAGGTTGTAGGAGGACAGGTTGTAAGAGGACAGGTTGTAGGAGGACAGGATGTAGGAGGACAGGTTGTAGGAGGACAGGTTGTAAGAGGACAGGTTGTAGGAGGACAGGTTGTAGGAGGACAGGTTGTAGGAGGACAGGTTGTAGGAGGACAGGTTGTAGGAGGACAGGTTGTAGGAGGACAGGTTGGTTTGATAACTTGCCGTGGTACTAATCACGACTCAGTCCTGTGACTTTCATTCACAATTCCTGTAGTCTGAATGGACAATGGGCCTGACGGCTGAGTGGACAGCGCTTGGGATTCGTAGTCCTAAGGTTCTGGGTTCGATCACCGGCAGAGGCGGAAACAAATGGGCAGAGTTTCTTTCACCCTGATGCCCCTTTTCACCTAGCAGTAAATAGGTACCTGGGAGTTAGACAGCTGCTACGGGCTGCTTCCTGGGGATATGTAATAAAAAAATAAGGCCTGGTCGAGGACCGGGCCGCGGGGACGCTAAGCCCCGAAATCATCTAATAATAATAATAATATATTTAGGAAAAGTACATAAGGGAGCCGGTCGGCCGAGCGGACAGCACACTGGACTTGTGATCCTGTGGTCCCGGGTTCGATCCCGGGCGCCGGCGAGAAACAATGGGCAGAGTTTCTTTCACCCTATGCCCCTGTTACCTAGCAGTAAAATAGGTACCTGGGTGTTAGTCAGCTGTCACGGGCTGCTTCCTGGGGGTGGAGGCCTGGTCGAGGACCGGGCCGCGGGGACACTAAAGCCCCGAAATCATCTCAAGATAACATACATAGTTGCAGAGTTACAGTACAAACATTATGTTTGATTTAAAGATAGAGATAGTACATACAATACCTAAAGCCACTAGTACGCATAGCGTTTCGGGCAAGGATAATCTCAAGATAACCTCAAGATAGAAGAGTTATCATCCATCAGGGTGACCTGACTGGCTCTCCTGCCTGTTGTCGGCATCTCTGCTCTCACTATAATCCTTGTTGTCACAGCTTTGCTTTGGCTGCCTCTCCTGTCTGCTGACAAAAGCTTTGGCCACTTTCCTCAAAGCTTAGGTGACGTGGGGTGGACATGTAAGCAGGCGCCTGGGAGGAGTGCCTGGTAGGGGTGCCTGGTGCCTGGGACGAGTGCCTGGTGCCTGGGAGGGGTGCCTGGTGCCTGGGAGGAGTGCCTGGTGCCTGGGAGGAGTGCCTGGTGCCTAGGAGGAGTGCCTGGTGCCTGGGAGGAGTGCCTGGTGCCTGGGAGGAGTGCCTGGTGCCTGGGAGGAGTGCCTGGTTCCTGGGAGGAGTGCCTGGTGCCTGGTAGGGGTGCCTGGTGCTTTGGAGGAGTGCCTGGTGCCTGGGAGGGGTGCCTGGGAGGAGTGCCTGGTGCCTGGGAGGAGTGCCTGGTGCCTGGGAGGAGTGTCTGGTGCCTGGGAGGAGTGCCTGGTGCCTGGGAGGAGTGCCTGGTGCCTGGGAGGAGTGCCTGGTGCCTGGGAGGAGTGTCTGGTGCCTGGGAGGAGTGCCTGGTGCCTGGGAGAAGTGCCTGGTGCCTGGGAGGAGTGCCTGGTGCCTGGGAGGAGTGCCTGGTGTCTAGGAGGGGTGCCTGGTGTCTGGAAGGGGTGCCTGGTGCCTGGGAGGAGTGCCTGGTGCCTGGGAGGAGTGCCTGGTGTCTGGGAGGGGTGCCTGGTGCCTGGTAGGGGTGCCTGGTGCTTTGGAGGAGTGCCTGGTGCCTGGGAGGGGTGCCTGGGAGGAGTGCTTGGTGCCTGGGAGGAGTGCCTGGTGCCTGGGAGGAGTGCCTGGTGTCTGGGAGGAGTGCCTGGTGTCTGGGAGGAGTGCCTGGTGTCTGGAAGGGGTGCCTGGTGCCTGGGAGGAGTGCCTGGTGTCTGGGAGGGGTGCCTGGTGCCTGGGAGGGGTGCCTGGTGCCTGGGAGGAGTGCCTGGTGTCTGGGAGGAGTGCCAGGTGCCTGGGAGGAGTGCCTGGTGCCTGGGAGGAGTGCCTGGTGTCTGGGAGGGGTGCCTGGTGCCTGGTAGGGGTGCCTGGTGCTTTGGAGGAGTGCCTGGTGCCTGGGAGGGGTGCCTGGGAGGAGTGCCTGGTGCCTGGGAGGAGTGCCTGGTGCCTGGGAGGAGTGCCTGGTGTCTGGGAGGAGTGCCTGGTGTCTGGAAGGGGTGCCTGGTGCCTGGGAGGAGTGCCTGGTGTCTGGGAGGGGTGCCTGGTGCCTGGGAGGGGTGCCTGGTGCCTGGGAGGAGTGCCTGGTGTCTGGGAGGAGTGCCAGGTGCCTGGGAGGAGTGCCTGGTGCTTGGGGGGAGTGCTTGGTGCCTGGGAGGAGTGCCTGGTTCCTGGGAGGAGTGCCTGGTGCCTGGGAGGAGTGCCTGGTGTCTGGGAGGAGTGCCTGGTGCCTGGGAGGAGTGCCTGGTGCTTGGGGGGAGTGCGTGGTGCCTGGGAGGGGTGCCTGGTGCCTGGGAGGAGTGCCTGGTTCCTGGGAGGAGTGCCTGGTTCCTGGGAGGAGTGCCTGGTGCCTGGTAGGGGTGCCTGGGAGGAGTGCCTGGTGCTTTGGAGGAGTGCCTGGTGCCTGGGAGGGGTGCCTGGGAGGTGTGCCTGGTGCCTGGGAGGAGTGCCTGGTGCCTGGGAGGAGTGCCTGGTGCCTGGTGCGACTGCCTGGTGCCTGAGAGGAGTGCCAGGTGCCTGGGAGGAGTGCCTGGTGCCTGGGAGGAGTGCCAGGTGCCTGGGAGGAGTGCCTGGTTCCTGGGAGGAGTGCCTGGTGCCTTGGAGCAGTGTCTGGTGCCTGGGAGGAGTGCCTGGTGCCTGGGAGGGGTGCCTGGTGCCTGGGAGGAGTGCCTGGTGCCTGGGAGGGGTGCCTGGGAGGAGTGCCTGGTGCCTGGGAGGGGTGCCTGGGAGGAGTGCCTGGTGCCTGGGAGGGGTGCCTGGTGCCTGGGAGGGGTGCCTGGTGCCTGGGAGGGGTGCCTGGTGCCTGGGAGGGGTGCCTGGGAGGAGTGCCTGGTGCCTGGGAGGGGTGCCTGGTGCCTGGGAGGGGTGCCTGGGAGGAGTGCCTGGTGCCTGGGAGGGGTGCCTGGTGCCTGGGAGGGGTGCCTGAGAGGAGTGCCTGGTGCCTGGGAGGGGTGCCTGGTGCCTGGGAGGGGTGCCTGGGAGGAGTGCCTGGTGCCTGGGAGGGGTGCCTGGTGCCTGGGAGGGGTGCCTGGTGCCTGGGAGGGGTGCCTGGTGCCTGGGAGGGGTGCCTGGTGCCTGGGAGGAGTGCCTGGTGTCTGGGAGGAGTGCCTGGTGCCTGGGAGGAGTGCCTGGTGCCTGGGAGGGGTGCCTGGGAGGGGTGCCTGGTGCCTGGGAGGGGTGCCTGGGAGGGGTGCCTGGGAGGAGTGCCTGGTGTCTGGGAGGGGTGCCTGGTGCCTGGGAGGGGTGCCAGGTGCCTGGGAGGAGTGCCTGGTGCCTGGGAGGAGTGCCTGGTGCCTGGGAGGGGTGTCTGGGAGGAGTGCCTGGTGTCTGGAAGGGGTGCCTGGTGCCTGGGAGGAGTGCCTGGTGTCTGGGAGGGGTGCCTGGTGCCTGGGAGGGGTGCCTGGTGCCTGGGAGGAGTGCCTGGTGTCTGGGAGGAGTGCCAGGTGCCTGGGAGGAGTGCCTGGTGCTTGGGGGGAGTGCTTGGTGCCTGGGAGGAGTGCCTGGTTCCTGGGAGGAGTGCCTGGTGCCTGGGAGGAGGGCCTGGTGTCTGGGAGGAGTGCCTGGTGCCTGGGAGGAGTGCCTGGTGCTTGGGGGGAGTG